GAAATTCAGTCTAAATATTCTCAGTTTTAAAATAAATCTTTGAAGCAGATTTCTCTTATTCACATCTATTCATATTTTATAACAATCTTTATAGAAAAAAGTTAAATAAGGTGTCTCAAGGGCAAATTATAATATACATAAAGTCTGAACAGTCTAACTATAGTTTTAAAACTGTCATACTATTAAACATCAACAAATTGATACATCTCTCTTCATTTTTTCACCCAAGTTGTTATGATAACCAAAATATGTGTAATATGTGTTTAACTGATTATTTCAACTAAATAAAATTATAACATCAGCTTATTAACTACAAGTAATAATTGCTACAAACCTGTATTTATCCTTTTTAAATGCTAATGGATCACAAGATCATATTTAACTAGACAATTTATACATGTTTAATCTTGAAATTCACATTTTAAAAAGCAAAGATTTGCTTTTTTTTCCAATGTGATGTGTTATCTTGACTTAAAAACAAAGCAAGAAAGGAACTAATCTATTTTCTGAACAATATACTATGGTAAAATGATCCAAAATTATATTACGGTACTGCTTTGCAGGAGTTGTAGATCACATTGTTTTCAAACATAAGTGACCTTGTCACTCCTCCAGTCCTCTGCTCAAATCCCTCCACTAGTGTCCCATCTCTGTGAACAAAAGCCAAAGGCCCACGCCCTCCTCCTTCCCTTGCTCACCCCATTCCACCCACACTGGTTTTCTTGTTGTTGCTCCTGCCCCACAGCCTTGTACTCTTCCCCAAGACAGCCACAAGCCTGGCTCCTTCACTTATTTCAAGTCTGTGTTCAAGTATCAGCTTCTCAATGGAACCTTCTTTGATTGCTGAATGACCCCATTTTACACTGCTATTCCTGCACCCCTCCCATCTCTGCTCAAACATAACTGTCTGCTAAGGACTCATGTGTTCCTCTAAAATTCATATTTTGAAGTCCCAACCTCCAGTGTAACTATATTTGGAAATAAGGCCTAAAAGGAGGTAACTAAGGTTTAATGAGGTCTGAAGGGTGGGGCCCTGATCCAATAGGGTTAGTAGTTTTATAAGAAGAAACAATACATTTATAGTAAGAAACAATACATTTTTTGTGACAATATGCAAGGAATCCAATAAGAAATAAAAATATGCAATCTTAAATAAGCTAATGTTTAAAAATCACAATGGTCAAAATTTGTGTTCTAATCACAGAACCACAGAATCCTGCTTTCTTGGTTCTCCTCCTATGAATCTGAACCAACACAGGCTCTGTCTTCCTCCTATCCATTAAATGTGGAAAATATGTAACACTGTTACTTTGATCTTTTTCTCTAATCACTTCCTACATGAACTCATCCATTCTCATTGCTTCAACTATCGCTTCTGTTTAGATGACTCTGAAACTCTGAAATCTCTGGCCTGGACTTGTCTGTGCTCTCGAGTGCTGTATTCTCAACTGCCTTTGAGGGGATCGTCACTTCACCATACTGCTAGAGATGTCAAAGGACAGGAGCCTTAGGTAGAACATAACATACGCACTAGAGCATGCTACATAAAATATAATTTTAAAATGTAGTAGTAGTATATAGACTCACATAATTCTATACACTGCCTGAGAAACTGCCTTCTTTCATTACAGAAATTAGACTACGATAATAGGGAATTCCAATCTTTTGAGTTATGACTGTGTATTCTAATTAACAATATACCCTTGTACTATCAGTTTCACTTCAACCACTGAGTTATTCCCAATATTGCAATAGAGTTTTATTACTTTCAAATTGAATTTAATCACTTGGGGTGGGGAATATAAGAAATTACATGAGGTTTTCAAATTAAGTTTCTGAACTAGGATAGTTTATTTTTAGAAGAAAAATGTGTCATGTCTTTGTCTTCATCATTGGCTCGCAAATAACATTTGTTTCTCTAGCCATTTTTCTTCCTACTCATTAATCAATTCATTATTATTTTAAAGACTTCTCTAAAGCACAGTTTTTACCTCTCTGAAGATGCTCAGTAATTTGATGATGAAATGACAACTCAAAATTTAGGAAAGTCTTCACATGAAAAGTTGGCTAACAGAATTTATTATCTAATTAAACAAACCACATATTTTTAGAATTTCACTGAGCAAAAATACAAAGAAAAAGTCCAAGAGAAAATCATACTGTTATTATTGCTTTAGAGACAGGCCCAGGCCTCCCAGGTGTAATAAAGTCCCGGGGGCCTTGGATAGCATGAAGGACCTTATAGTCAGTGATCCTCAGTACAAGTCAGTTACTGATGAAATACATAATGTCCCATGCCTATAGTCCCTTTTTAAGAGGAATAATTACTACATATTATATCAGGTAAATTTCACTGCTACTTCTTTCTCAAATATTTTTTATTCAAATTAAGAATATAAATGACATCTAGTTAAGATAGGTGCTGATATAGACTGAATGTTTGTGTCCCGCCAAAATTTGTATGTTGAAATTCCAACTCCCAGTGTAACAGTATCAGGAGGTAAGGGCCTTTGGCAGGTGATTGTCATAAGGGTGGAGCCCTCATGAATGGGTTAGCGCCCTTATAAAAGAAGCTATTGAGAACTCCCTTGCCCCTTCTACCATGTGAGGTTACAAGGATGTTTGTTGAGGTTACAAGATGGCTGTTTATGAACTGGGAAGTGGGCCCTCACCAGACACCAAATCTGTTGGAAATTGGATCTAAGACTTCACAGCCTTCCAAACTGTGAGAAGTAAGTTTCTGTTGTTTATAAGCCACCCAGTCTATGATATTTTGTTATAGCAACCTGAACAAACTAAAAAAGGTGTTAAGAAGTCAAGCTTGGCTGTCCTCAATGCTCACAAAAGGCACAAAGTATGCCTAAACTACCAACAAATCCTGTCATTACTCCTTTCAAAATATATCTAGAATCTGACTGATTCTCTCCCCCATTTTCTGCTACCAGATACCTTGGTCCAAGCCACCATCATCTCCTACCAGGATTACAAGTCTCCTAAATAATCTCCCTGCCTACTAGTCTACTCTCCACATAATAATGCCAGTGATCACAATAAAACATGAGTCAAATCAAGTCATTCCTCTGCCCAATATCCTCAACTAGCTTCCTCTATCACTTAAAGTGAAAGTCAAGTCCTTAAAACGACTTAGAAGATCCTTCATGGTCTGGTCCCCCTTCACCTCATCTTGAACTGTTCTTTCCCTCCCTTACTCCATTCAGTCCCAATGTCTTCCTTGCTATTCCCTGAACACATCAAACATACGTTCACTTTAGGTTCTCTGCATCAGCCGCTTCCTCAGCCTGAAAGGCTCTCTCTCCCTCCAGACAGCTAGAGGACTTGCTCCCGTGCTTCCTTCCAGATTCTGATTAGTGAGGCCTTCCTTGACAACAGAACATAGACTAATACCCCTTCTCTGCCGCCCGCCCCACTCTAATACCTGTAACCTGCTTTATTTTTTCCCAAAGTGCTTATTATTGCTAGGCATACTACATGTTTGTTTCTTATCTGCATTACCTAACTAGAATGTTAACTCCAAGAGAACAGACTGTTTTGTTCCTTGCTCATTCCCCAGCAATAGAATACAGAATAGATTATCAGTAAGTATCAATAAATATTGAACAAATGAATGAATAAATAAATCTTGCACTAGTTTCTTATCCCAAACCAGATGCAGATTCATCTTCCTTCAAACTGTATACCACTATATTTTTATTTTTCTTATGACAAATCATATCCTTGTATTAATAATCATTCTTTATGTATCTTAGCGTCCTGTAAATATCAAGAACCATGTCTTATTCCTCTTTGTATCCCCCACATCTAGCATCATTTCTTTCTTTTAAGAGGTACTCAGTATTTGTTGGGCTGAATTTGAAGTTATACTGAAAGATACTTTTTTTTTTTTTTTGAGATAGAGTCTCACTCTATCGCCCAGACTGGAGCACAGCGGAGCAATCTCGGCTCACTGCAACCTCCACCTCCGGGGTTCAAGCGATTCTCCTGCCTCAGTCTCCCAAGTAGCTGGGATTACAAGCACATGCCACCACACCGGGCTAATTTTTGTATTTTTAGTAGAGATGGGGTTTCACCCTGTTGGCCAGGCTGGTCTCGAACTCCTGACCTCAGGTGATCCACCCACCTCAGCCTCCCAAAGTGCTGGGATTACAGGCATGAGAAAGATACTTCTATAATACACCTGGATCTGTTGTGCTATGCTTTAGCGCGTGGCCCAGTACCAATTCTTAAATTGCTAAAAACTGTTCTGCTTTCATAACAAGCCACCAAATTTAACACAAGTGAGATAAAAGACAGCGTGTAACCTGCCTCAGAGATGCCTAATATCCATTTTGTCCTGATATGGAAACCATAAGAACATTTTGAATGATGTCAACAAATCAAAAGATTTTCAGAGGATACTGAAAACTGCTTGGCAGAAAGCCACCTCAGCTTGACCCACTTATGAATTCTACAAAAAGAAAAGCCAGAGAGCAAATGCTTCACTCTTATCTTCATAAAGAAATAAATAACCAGAAACAAACTAACATGAAGATTTTTTTTTCCTAAAAAAACAAATTCCAGCATCGCTACTACAATTAATATCCATTTGACCCAAAACTTTTGTACAGCTCACTAACTGGGTATTTTTAACAAAAAGCTTAAATCACCAAGGAAAGATTAAATTATCATCAACATGTTTAAAAAACTTAATATGCCTTGAGTTTTAAACTTTCATCAACTCAGTTAAAATTCAAGACTCATACTAAAGGAGTTAAACCTTCATTATTAAGAAAAGTCAACCGTACACAGCAATTTATTCTCCAAGACTTGTGGACAAGCAGAATTTTGCTTTTCAGTCAAATTCTTTGACAACTGATAATCCATAATTATAGTAATCAAAATAGTTAATAGGCTAGAACTCTCTTTTACCAGGCAGAAGTGACAGCATTAAAAATAAATGATACAGTAAAAACAATGTCCCACCTTCTACAGTGTCAGCTCACCTGAGGTATAAGTCTGTCCAGATGTTCAACTCGATTGCCATGAGAAGGGTGTGTAGATAACCATTCTGGCATCTTGGGTAGGCCATGCAGGCTATCGACAAACTCCATTTGCTGCCAAAACACTGAACTGGCTCTTATGTCTGCACAAGCCTAAAACCAAAATTAGTAAAACCACACAATGAGTTCAGTTTTGAGGATTTTTTTTAAAATACAACTTTATGTCACTACATGCTTTAAAGTCATTTTCTATCATCATTTTAATAAAAGTAGAACATGCCCATTGCTTAGAAAAAGACCCACCTCAAACAACATGGTATCACAGTACTGAAGTAACAGAATGCCTGCCCTTCCCATATACAACATTCACAATAACCCTGCTAACCAAAGATAGCTCACTATTTTCAGTATGATGAATATTAAGAACATGTATTAAGGGTAAAATCTTTTACACAAATTAAAAAATTTGTTTTCATAAAAATAAAGTTTTAAAATATAATCTGTTATTAAATTGCATTAAAGGAACTTTACTTCTATGCCACTAGACCAATCAGAAAAAACTTCAAATAAACATAAAGAGAAGACATTTTTATTGTGCACATCAATTTACCCACTTTTCTCAATGTATACGGAGGATATATTTAATTCATATTATACCTTATAAAACACAGTACCTTATAAAAGTATAATATAAAAGTACATTAGTGCTTTTTAAAAGAATATATGTAGATATTGTGTATGTGTATGCACAATTCCATCATACACTCATATACATACTCATACATATATACTTGTATATGCACAGAACATATCTGAAAAGCTATTTAAGAAATTGTTAACAGTAGCTACCCTAAGAATGTATCTAAGGTATCTGATAGTGGAGAGGGAGCAGGACTTTTATTTCCGAACTATATTAAAATACATTATTTTATAATTAAAATTATTTTTAAATCCTCCATAAGGTGGATTATTAATAAATATTTTATTAATTTGTTCAATTTATTCACATTTCTTAACTTATTCTTTCTATAATAAGTAACTGGAAAAAAAGTGATTATATTTCCCAACCATTTTACTTTTCATTAAAACTAAGAAAAAAGATATATACTATACTGACTAAAATGTACTTTCAAAAAGGTTTATAATAGTGTAATTGTGAAACCCCAAAAGGCAAATATATTAATAGAACACGGCATGCTAGTCAATATCCATGCTACATCGTTTCTTAACAAATGCCATTAAAACATCTCCAAATGTTAGCAAAATAAAAAATTTTAAATTCAAGTAAATCTTAATATTTAAAGAAATATAATTCCTTAAGACCTCCGAGTATTTTAAGTCGAAAAGAATTCAAGGTACTTTACACACTATTGCACAGATATGGATATACATGTTTATATGTATATAAACAGGAATATACAAGATAAATGTATATAACAAACATAAACATGATTCATGTTTGTACACATATACTTATCTATAGATGCAAGATGTGTGTGTGCTTATGTGTAAAGTACATATGTAACATATATATCTATGCAGAAATAATTACTTGATGCTGAATTAGAAACACCCACAGGAATATGTCCCTCAATAATAGGTAATCTCATTCACAATAAAAATAAAAGCTGAGATTAACAAGTATTCTTCTAAAATAATTCATAAAAATATAAAATGACTCAAAAGAATTCTAACAAACAAGAAACCCCTCTGAAAACTGGAAGATAAACATTTGAATGGACTACAAATTCGTGAATTATCTAACATGAAGTTTGTCTGGTATACAAACCAAAAGCATACTTATCTAATATTTTTAGCCTAAAACTGTTAATCAAAAGACAAAATATTTCCCTATTCAATCTCTAAGTAACACAGCTGAAGGGAATCTTTAAAGCAATATTTGATATGCAGAAATAGAAAAAGAAATTAATTATCCCAACGGACTAGAAAGTATTCCAAACTAAAAGTATTAAAAAGGGACTTGAGATATCTACTTTAATGTTAAGATAAGAGTGTTGAGTTTGTCTGTACTTCTCAAACCCAGTTCAAAGACCCACTAAAGTCAGATAATTTTGTTTCCAAAATGAGTATTTTATTCATACTTTTCCAATTTAGGAAAAATAAGTAACAGAGTGACATCAGCAAGACGGAAGAATAGGACGCCCTGAACCCTCCTTCCCCACATGAACACACTGATTCAACAATAACATACAAATTCCCTGTGTGAGAAATCCTGAAACTAAAGGTGCAATGCTTCTGCACCTGCACAAATATGAAATGAACCACATCAAACCTGGCAGAAAATTGGAGACACCTTCTTGCCATAATCTGCAAGAGCAATTACGTACCCCCAATACAGCACACCATATGATCATAAGAACACCCGCAGCTCCCCACCACTCCTTGGGGAAGGAAAAAGTTGGCTTGTGTATCTAACATTCCAACTTTTTTAAGAGCTGCCCTAGGAACTGGCTTCTGTCTTGCCAGCCTTGTAGCACTGATGGAATCTAGAACACACTAGATGTCTAGGGGCCAGTGATAACGCAACAGAAGTTTGAACAAGCATACAGGCAGTTGCCATGACCACTCCCTGAAGCTCAGCATTAATTGAGTTGAAGAAAAACTCCAGAGCCTAGTTTCTCCTGGGGCAGGGCTTGGGGGAAGAGGTAGATCACGTGTCCAACATTCTAACATTTCTGAGGGCTGTCCAAGAGACTGGCTTCTGTCTCATCTGTCTTGTAGCACTGCTAGAACCCAGCATATGGACCAGATGAACCAGATAGGACCCTAGACGCCTAGGCACCACTAAGAATAAAGACAGCAGTTTGGACTAGCACAAAGGTTTGAGAGGTTCTCGGAATCTCTGCTGTGCTGACTGATGAAGATCTTCTCCTGTACAACGACAGTCGGTAAAGGCTAAGAGGTTGCTGTTTTTTCCTAATGTGTAGATATCAACAATAAGAGTGAACAATATAAACAGAGAAATACGCACCAAAGGATCAAGATAAATCTTCAGAAACTGACCCTAATGAAAGGGAAATATATTATTTATCTAACAAGAGAATTCAAAATAACCATCATAAAGACACTCAATGAGGTCAGAACAATGCATGAACAAAGTGAGAATTTCAACAAAGACTCAGAAAATGTAAAAAAGTACTAAACAGAAATTCTGAAGCATACTCCCAAACTACACACTCCTGTACAGCCTATGGGTCAAGGAAAAAAACAAAAAGAAAATGATTTTGAGACAAATGAAAATGAAAACACAATATAACAAACCTGATGGGATATAGCAAAAGCAGTTCTAAGAGTATAGTTTATAGTGATAAACATCTACATTTAAAAAAAAAAGAAAGCAAGCAAATAAACAAACAAACTAACTTTATACCTGTAGATCTAAAAAAAAAAAAAAAAAGAACTAAGCCCAAAGTTTGCAGAAGGAAGGAAATAATAAAGATTAGAGCATAAATAAAGGAAACAGAGAATTAAAAAATAGAAAAAAAACTAAAACTAAGAGCTTTTGGGGGAAAGATTTACAAAATTGACAAGTCTTTAGAGTAATTAAGAAAAAAAAGCCTTAAATGAACAAAATCAGAAATGAAAGAGGACACATTACAACATACCATTATAACTTATACCATACAAAGGATCATAAGAGACTACTTTGAACAATTATATGCCCACAAATTGGATAAGCTAGAAGAAATGGATAAACTCCAAGAAATATATAACCCACTAAGATTGAATAATAAAGAAATAGGAAATATGAACAAATCTATAACTAATGAGATTGAATCAATAATAAAAAAACTTCCCAACAAAGAAAAGCCCAGAACCAGAACCAGATGACCTCACTGGTGAATGCACCAAAAACATTTAAAGAATTAATGTCAATAACTCTCAAAGTCTTCCAAAAAATTGAGGAGGGAACACTTCCAAACTCATTTTATGAGGCCAGCATTACCCTGATACCTATGCCAAAGACACTACAAAAAAAAAAAAAAAAAAATTACAGGCCAATATCCCTGATGAACATAAATGCAAAAATTCTGAACAAAATACTAGCAAACCAAATTCAAAAGCATATTAAAAGGATCACACCTCATGACCAAGGAGGATTTATTCCCTGGTAATCAAGAATGGTTCAACACACAAAAATCAATTAATGTGATATACCACATTAACAGAATAAAAAAACATGATCATCTCAACAGATGCAGAAAAAGCACTTGACAAAATTAGACATCCTTTCATGATAAAAACTCTCAAACACTAGAGATAGAAAAAAAATTATCTCAACATAATTATAGCTATATATGAAAAGTCCACAGCTAGCATCACACTTCATAGTGAAAAACAAAAATTTTTTCCTCTAAGTCCAGGAACAAGGCAAGAATGCCCAATCTTGCCATTTCTGTTCAATATAGCACTGGAAGTCCTAGCCAGGGCAATTAGGCAAGAGAAAGAAATAAAAGGCATTTAAATCAGAAAGAAAGAAGTAAAATGATTTCTGGATAATATGATCTTAAAAGTAGAAAACTAAAGACGCCACACACACACACACACAAAAACTTGTTAGAACTAATAAATAAATTCAGTAAAATTAGGATACAAAAATCAGCATACAAAAATCAGTTACGTTCTACACACTAACGACAAACTATCCCAACAGGAAATTAAGAAACAATTTCACTTACAGGAACATTAAAAAGAATAAAATACTTATTAAACCAAACTAAGGAGGTGAAAGCCTTGTACGCTAAAAAGTATTTTTAAAAAAACCAATGAAAGAAATTAAAGACAACTCAAATAAATGGAAAGACATCCCATGTTCATGGATTGTAAGACTTAATATTGTTAAAATATCCATACCACCCAAAGTCGTCTACAGATTCAATGAGATCTCTATGAAAATCCCATTGGCACTTTCTTATAGAAACAGAAAAAAATATCCTAAAATTCATATGGAACCACAACTAACCCCAAATCGCCAAAGCAATCTTGAAAAAGAGTAAGACTAGAGGCATCATGCTTCCTGATTTCAAAATATATTACAAAGCTACAGTAATTAAAACAGTATAGTATTAGCATAAAGATAATCATTCAATGAATGGAACAGAATAGAGAGCCCAAAATTAAGCCCACACAAA